TAAGAGAGACTCTGCTGTCCATCTCTCAACCAATAAGTTCTCTTGGTTGCCTCTTACGATATCTACGAGAAAGGAAGAGGTATTCCATTCTTACGGGGACAGGTGAAGTTGAAGTTGAGTTACAGGATTTTACATCTCAGTTCTTATTAATGACATCCCTCTAGATGTACCATGAACGCCACAGCGTAATGTTCATAATGCTGTCTGTACAATTAGGTGATAGTTACCTAAAAATTTTTAATCTATTCCCATAACAGGTCGATGATATGATGATGTCCCATGTACAGACGTCCTCTAATTACAATTTAAATACATTAGTAAGAAAAGATTTGTAAAAATTTTACGCCATATTTTGTACTCAAAAGAATACTCTATTCTAAGTCATAAGGATAGAGTAAGGAGAGGGGAAGAGGGAGGTCAAGGCATAATTACATCAGGCAGATCAAGGAAAAAGTTGGTGTCGTGTCGTATCAAGAAATGAAGAGATTCGCATAAAATCGTATTGAGTGGCAAGAGTTCCACCGACAAGAGCGCAGTTCTTAAATAGGATAGATAAATAGAAGCCATAAGCAGTAAGGATGGAACATAAACGGGTTGTTTTAATGAACACAACCAAGAACCGCAAGAGATAACAACTATTAGTGTAGGTGTCAACCCTAACGTGTATCCTCTAAAAGCCCTTTGAGATTACGCTATAACCGCAAACTAAGGCACCATTAGTATTTACACCGAATAATTAGCTCACCTTAAATAATCGCATGCCCTAAATCAGGTTTGATTGATGAACTTTCATGTAGTAGTTTAGGTAATCCTGCTCCTGTAGGACCTTCATAAATTAGGGTCTAGGGTACAATTCCCGGTCACGCCTATTCATAGTTTAAGATCCCGCTGTTAATTTCTACAGGTATGAGATTTTTAATAAAACTTCATTTAAATGAAAGATGATTCTTCAAAAGGGGGCTAAAGAGGTTTCTTCAGGGTCAGCAACGCGCGCATAATACCTCTGGTATTGCAGGAGTTCATAGGCTACGGTAACCGCTTACCATCAGGTGGGCCGTATGCTTGTTTGCCACCTCAGTGGTATAAAAAAAAGAGGTTAAATTTTAATAAAATATACCCTGATTTCATGCTCTCAATTAGCCTCAACTTAGGGTTGCCATGTGAAAATGTGTCTAGTACCTTTTAATAAATTATTTTAACTCATCATGCTCTTTAATAAAATTTACACTTAACAGAAGTTCGTTCTTCTCTATACATAACATAATTATGGCCGCCTATTATAAAATATTCGCGAGTAAGGGTTGCCAGCATCTAAAGTTTTGTTCTAGAATCTAGATGATAGTGCTGTAACTACAGGGAATAAGTCATTTTTGGTAAAACACATACTAAACCGAAATTTACTTTTAAAGTGTGCGATCCCGACCTCGCGAATCAATTTACTGATAAGACCAGAATTCTTTCCACAACTATAGTATCCACCTATTCATTTTTTTTTTATACAACTTATAATGGCAAACAAGCTGACAGCCCACCTAATGGAAAGTAGTAACCGTCGCCTACAGACATGAGCAGTACCATGGACATAACAGAGTATACTGTTTCACCCATGATACCCCCCATGCGTTGCCATTTCTGAGGACTCAGGTGTTATTCCTCTGTACCCAATAAATTCACGCCATATCCCACCCTTCAAACCGGAACACAGCCATGCAAACACAGCTACTTCACGGTTGAAACACGAATGGGACAGAGGTACCCAAGCAAACGACTTTTGTACAAAGACTCCTTCTGGTCGTCCTTTACCTCATAATCCTTCATTAATTTTTTACCATCTTACTTTGGCACACACACACACAACAGGCTTGGCAGGCGGGTTGGCAACCGCAGTTAGGCTTTTAAAGATGTTTTAAGAGGGACACTACTGCCCATCCCTTGACCTCCCTTAGTCACCTCTTATGACACCCACGGAATAGAAAGGGGCGGCCCATTCTATGTCAAGACCACACGAAAAATAGACAGAGACTATATGGCCTATGAATACGACCAACTGAAACTATGCTGCTTATGAACACTATGCTGGCTTACTAAGTCCTTTTTCACGCTACCTTCGAAGGATCCAAAATTAATAATTATAAAATGAATGAAACACGTCACAGGAAAGGCCGTTCCACATTGTCACGGTACAGTTCACGTATTAGTTGGCAAATTTACTTGTACGTGAGCGCGAGCGGTCTACCAAATACCAGATAGTACCAAATTTTGCGTATCACTAATAGAGTTATGTTGTTTTAGTTTAACTTATTACTAACCGACCCTCGCCAGTTTTACAAGGCCAAATAATATTAAGAGGGCCTATACTAATCAGTGTTGCCAAATTGGGGTATTTTCCGCAATTTTGGGTAAAAAGTTTTCTGTTAGCGAAATTTTGGAGAAATTAAATTATTATAGAAAAGAAAATTATTATAGAATATTTTGGAAACATAAAGGTAATTAAAAAAATTTTTATTTATTGATATGATTACGTCACTAATTATGGAGCAATTTTTACTCATATTTTTAAAACGGATAAAATTTACTCTCATGTTGATAATTCTAATAACATGTGTCTCCATGTTTTAAATTTTCTATTTAATGTTAGACAAAATGCCTTAAAATATGTGGATGCGACTTTTATTACGAGAATTTATCTACAATTCTTCAAACTGTATAACCGGTTCACTGTCTTTATAGCTTGCGATCCTTTAAACCAGCGATTCCTTAAGTGGGTTCTACGAAACCTAGGGATTAATAAAGTCACCAGAATTCTGCGAAATTATTTACACAGTGAAACAATTAGATTCTTTACATTAAAATTTAAAGGAAACTATAAAGCTTTCGTTTTTATTTAAATTACAGTATTTTTTATTTGCAATCATTTGATTTAGGGATCGATAAAATAAAAGATATTTGGTGGGCGTTCAATTATCTTAAGTTTAGGAACCCCTGCTTCAAACTACCATTGAATACTTTTCGTGAATGTTGTTCAACTGTCGACTAATCGCAACCGTTATAGTCGCAAGTCTGTAGAAACCTCCATCCGCGATTACCATCAATTTGCATCCAAATAGTCCGTAACTAACGCGAACACGCGTATTAATTATATCAGACACGAAACGGAGGGGTTTAGCTTTCCAACCTTGAAATTCTATGAGAAATATATATATTTTTTCTTATTATTTAAAGATTTACGTAAGTACACATTATATCGTCATAGTGGTAGAATACTGACGGATCTGACAAATATTACATATAAAGATCCGTCAGTATTCTACGACTATGACGATATATTAATATAATAACTACTGGTTTGATTTACGTGCATTTTAATCGAGGAAGCTCGACTAGTTTCGGGCCCATCCGAAACCCTCAATCATGAGCAGGCATGATGTGAGCGCGAAACTAACTTTTTTCAATATGCAATGACAAACAAACCAATGATAAACACAAAATATTCGATAAAAAAAAATAATAATGATCACTTACAAATATAAACAATACTATGGATCCCCTAAAATACTATAAAAAATCCATAATAGTCATGAGTAGCCATATTTGTTATACCTCCCTTGTAGTCTCAGTCTTCAAAAATAAATATTATACAAATAGCTTCTTAGCAGTTGAAAAACGAGTTGTGTCGACGTGTCGGTAAGTTTGTTTTTTTTTTTAAGGATGAGAGTGGAATGGTGACCCAGTATGAGCTAACGGTATACGCTGGCAGGGCAGCAGTGAGGAACGATAGGTGAGAATGAAAAGGCAGGCAATGAAAAGGCCAGTTAGCCCATCGGGTTTAATACATCTAGAATCATCACGATGTTTTCCAGAGGGACCACGTGGAGGTCCACCTGACTGGACTAGTAATAGGACCAGTAGTCCGCATTACTATCAATCCCTTTCTCCCACGGTAAGTTTGTTACCTTATAGCCTTAACAGCTTAACCAATAACTATGGAATTTGGTATCCACGAATTACGTGAGATAAAGAAGAATACAGGCTTCTTTCTATCCCGATCAGTAAACATATCCCGGTCACACGGATGAAGTCGCGGATAAAAGCTGATAAAACTTATAAAGTAGATAATTGGTATTATATATTTATGAATAAATAGATATTAGTTTTTTTTATTTTATTTTTATACAACTTAGAATGGCAAACAAGCTGACGGCTCACCTGATGGAAAGTGGTAACCGTCGCCTATAGACATGAGCAGTACCATGGACATAACAGAGTATACTGTTTCGCCCATGATACCCCCCATGCGTTGCCATTCCTGAGGACTCAGGTATTATTCCTCTGTACCCAATACATTCACAAACACAACTGATTCACGGTAGAAACACGAATGGAACAGAGGTACCCAAGCAATCGACTTTTGTACAAAGTCTCCCTCTGGTAGATAAATAGATAGATATTTGCATTACTTACAGAACACAAACTTTAACAGATACTGATATACATAAGAAGCGAGATAAGAGAAATGATAAAAAAAAAATATTGAAAAAAAAAAGTAAAATTTTTCCTTTTATGCGTGTGTCATAGCAATACAAAATGATCACAACTCAGTTTTTGCTTCGCTCTCAAAAGAGCAAAGCACTGATATTCTGTTGCGACCAAAGGGAATAGGGTAACAATAAAATAATACCACCAGATTATCCATACAATAAACAGACAGATATACCGTAAACAGAGAGATATGACAGAAATAAATGAATAATCATTCATCATTCATTAATTCATTATGTATTCATGTTCTTTTCTATAGGTGCCGGTTACCACTGTGTCTGGTTACCACTTGTCTGGTTATCGTTTTAAATCGGATAGACCATCTGTTGACCTAATTGTCATTCTAAGTTTTATTATAAACAAATAAAGAATCTAAACTTTTCTTAAATCGTTATTAAATCGATAGAGAATTAGTTGTCATTCTTTATCTAATAACTTACGTCACATATATGTATTAATAATTTGTCAACCATCTTCTTTCCTAGAAAAATAGATAAAAAAAAGTATAATTAACGTCAAATTATAGTAAAATTGAAGACAATAAAAAGTCACTATAAAATTTTAAGTAATTTTATTATTAAATTTTAAGTAAATATATGTAATTATAAAATAATTTCTTAATCTGGTGATAAGAAACAAAAATCAAGATGTATTACATGGACAAACTGCCGACAGTAATCAGCTGTTGCTTCTGCTGTTTCCTTAGAGCTGGGACCGTTATGATAGCTATATTTTCCTTTGTAAGTACATGCTTTAACTTGAAAGTTTAATTCTTGGCTATATTACTTAGTATACTGGTTTTAAAGTTTCAAGGCCATAGTACACTTCTACACAATCTTTGTTTTAATGAGAAATGGCAGGAGACTTTGTACAAAAGTCGACTGCTTGGGTACCTCTGTCCCATTCGTGTTTCAACCGTGAAGCAGTTAAACAGTTATGTTTGCATGGCTGTGTTTCGGTTTGAAGGGTGGGATATGGCGTGAATTTACTGGGTACAGAGGAATAACACCTGAGTCCTCAGGAATGACAACGCATGGGGGGTATTATAGGCGGAACAGTATACTCTGTTATGTCCACGGTACTGTTCATGTCTATAGGCGACGGTTACCACTTTCCATCAGGTGGACCGTCAGCTTGTTTGCCATTCTAAGTTGTATAAAACAAAAAAAAATGGGATTATTTTTATATTTATAAAATTATATCTATAATGTTTATTTAGTAAAATATAAAATAAATGTACTTTAATGATTAAAACTTATATACATTAAATCATTTTAATGTGTCCATGTAAAGTATGCACAATAAAAAAAATTATAATACAATACATATTTTAATAAATGAATTTTGTTCATATTTAATATAACGATTAAGAAAAAATATATAAAAAACCTATTAGAAAAACATTAATTTGCGAAAGATTAGTGATTTCCCTGGAATTATTACGTTCTGCAATATTCATTTTTGGAATTAATGATTCCACAAATTGATCTAATGGTTCATATACATACAGTGATGCTGTGATAGATTGTAAATGTAAATAGGACTTTATTTTCCGCGCTTAGCCTCACATTTGAGCCGTTGTGCGTATGAGTCGTGGCTAGTACAGCCAACCTAGCTCCGCCCAGAAGCACAGAAGCTTCCTGGGATCTTCACAAGCATTAAGGAGCGACCTCACCGTTCCGAGGATTTCTAAACGTTGATAGGCCACAGCTTCACATTGTATATGTGATAGATTGTAGCTTTGAAGCATTTTATTTTCTTTCTTTTATCAATATGAAGTTCGTGATAGTCATTTTATCCGTTCATAATTTTCGTTGTAAACTTAACTTTTATTTGAAAAAAAAGTAACAGCTATATCTTGGCCATTCTTCTCAGCTGAAATTGCATTCCGAACTGGGCGGTTGATTTATAAAAAAAAAGTGACTATTTAAAAATGCTGATTATTAAGTTTACTTGAATTAAAATTATTTATTATTATTATTTTTTAAATTTTTACAAAATTCACATCTCCCCTCTTAAGGAGAGGAGATGGCAAACTAACCCCCGGCAGAAGCACAGTCGGCCGGGGTTCAGGGCCCTATGGAGAGAAACCGGCGTACAATGCGGGCAGAATCTAAGAGCACCGCTTTCTGCATCTTTCCTGGGACTGAGCCGCCTTGAAATCCCAACCGTCTGAGATGTTGTTCCAGACTGGTTGGGATAAGACCGTTCACCGACATAACGATTGGAATGATTTCGGTGGATGTCACTCCCCACATTTCGGTCACCTCGTGAGCCAGATCGAGATATTTTTTCTTTTTCTCAGTTTCGGCTTTCACGAGGTTCTCGTCATGCGGTATGGTGACATCCACCAAAAACACCCTCGAAAGTGCCCGATCCATCACCACGATATCAGGTTTGTTCGCAAGAACGGTCCTGTCCGTGATTATGGATCGGTCCCAGTAGAGCCTGGCGCTGTCGCTTTCGAGGACCGGCTGGGGCTCGTACTTATAGTACGGCAACCTCTCATTCGCGAGGCCGTACTTCAGAGCTAGCTCTTGATGGAGTATTTTGGCTACCTGGTTGTGTCTGTGCAAGTACTCAGTGTTGGCAAGATTATTATTATTATTATAAGCACACCATTCGTATAAGAATTATTATTAAAACTTATGTTTATTTTGAACGATGTCTGTATGTATTTATATAAATAACGACAATTTCATGAACTTATTATGTTTGTCGCTTTGAATAATTGTTTCGACATTAATCCGGAAATCTCCTTCAGGGGGCATTTGGCGCTTTGCGTCAAAGAATGAAGTTCTTGGAAGATTTTTTGTAGAAAAGTAAAATTGGCTTGGAGAACTTGGGCTAATATTTCTTGACAGTTTTGGTATTTGTAAAGTGTTCCACACACTAAAATAATATGGTAATAATAAAATGGTATAAAAATATAATAAAATATATGAATGAAGGAACAAAATAGAGGACGGGATATGAAAGAAGAAGCTAACATAAGGTAAAAATAGAAACAGAAGGAAGGTGCTTTTATTATTTTCGTTGTTCACTTTGCTGATACATGGTAAACCAAGTGAAAAACTATACAAGTTTGTGGTAAGGTAAAAAGTTCGGGAAATCGTAACGATTTGGACGAAAATATTTGGCAGTTGAATAGGATAGAATAGAATAGAAAATCATTTATTCAAATAAACTTACATTGAAGCACTTTTGAAAAGTCATTACATTTTTTTTAATCTACCGCTCGTTCGGAAAGCTGTCTCATCACAAGAAGAACGAGCAAGAAACTTGCGTGTTGCTCTTTTAAATAATTTTATTATTACTTTACATTTTTAAGTTTAAGTGTGTGAATACAAACCACCAATTAGCACTAATTCAATTAAATACTCAAAAAGAAAAAATATTGAATACATAACCAACTGGTTAAACAATTAATAAGAGGAAATCAGTCATAGTGATTAGAGCAGACCAGTCCCTACAAGCAGCACCCGTTCACGAGTATGACGGATGAGCCAGCCATCACTGCGCTCGACCATATTTTAGGGAGCCCAATGACCCGGCCCACCACGCCGCCACAAGTCTGGACATTTTAGTGAGCATGACTACTCAAAACACTAGACCACGTCAAAGCTACTCACAATTGCCATCTGATAGTTATAGTATTCACATTTTACATAAGAATGCATGCGGCAATTAATACAAAAACCGCTACGCTTTACGAATAAAATAAAGAATTCACATCTCACAACCCTGAGGCGGAAATACTGGTGGCAAGAGAGGAAATGACTCGCTGTATCTTAATACAGTTCCGGTACTTGTGGCGTTGTAGTCGACTGCGAAGGACTCTTGGCTCTGCTGCTGCTACTTTCTAAGCTATCCAACACAAGCTGATACCCAAAGCTCTATCTCTTCTTTTAGATCATACAATTATTGTTATACATATATACAGACATCAATAAATAAGTAGTACTTCGAAATTTTTCCGCTCCAGTTTTTCAAGTGAATTTTCGCTTATTTATTTACGTATATAAATGAGTAAATATAAATATTTTTCGCTTATATTTCTCGTACTCTGTATAGCTTCGTACAATTTCCAATATATTAAACTACATACAGTTTTCGCGGAAATAAAAATTTGTGTAATGTTTATTTTATTTTTATATCGTATTATTTATTTATTTTATATATTTGAAACGTGAGTTTATTTCTGACTCGTAACTACCTAAAGTTATAATTAATATTTACCTAATTACACTACAGTGGGTTACACAAGTTAATGAAACTGCTGTTTCCGCCATATTTTAGATACGTATTTATAAGTTTTCGCATAATTAATTACAAATTTAACTATAATTATTTTAAACTATACATATAGTATCTACTGTTTGTATTATTTGCAAGTATTAGTTTCATATTAGAATTAAATTTACAATAAACAAAGACAAACTATAGCGACCGCGTCAAAAATCCTGGCATTAATTTTGATCCTGGTCATCTCAGATTGCTGAAATTAACAGAAGCATGTTTGCGGCAACTGGACCCCTTGCAGGCTACGTAAGGTTCTTTTTACGGACACGAAAATCGCGCTTGCTCTTACATTGTTCCTCCCAATCCTTGACTACGCTGATTCCTTTTATTCAAATGTCACTGAAGAGCAGTTAAATAAATTTAAGCGTCTTCAAAATTTATACATTCGGTTCATATTTGGGCTTTGCAAATATGACCATGTATCCCAATATCGTACACAGCTCAAGTGGCTCTCTATTTGTCTTCGTCGCAACTGATATATCCTTTCTCTTCTTTATTCAATTCTTATTAATCCAGCTACACCTAATTTATTTGAAAGAACGTTTTGTATTACTTGGCGAGAGCAACTCTTATTCTTTACGTAGTACTGACAACTTCCAACTCAAAATTCCTACTCATTCTTCTTCTTTAAATCTTTTTCTGTGCAAGCAGTTTGTTTGTGGAACTCACTCCCTACCTCTATACGGTGCGTTCAATCTTTGTCTATTTTTAAAAACCTAGTTAAATCCCACTACCTATCCTTATAATCACTTAGTCCTCCTTATTTTCTACCAAAATTGTGTTATACATATATGTTAATGTTATATATTTATATGTATATATATTTATGTATGTATTTATGAGTGGATATAAATGTGCTTATTTACACATGTTTAGATATATTTTTTTAACGTGCCACCTACCTATTTGTTCTTTAATTCATACTACTCAAAGGTTATCTGAAAGAGATTGCCTAGCAATAAGATCGCCATTTGTACCACACTATACTTATTGACAATTCTTTAACATGCCCTGTAATATTGGTGCAATAAAGTGTTAAAAAAATAAACAAAGACTTCGATCGTAACAAAATATAAATGAAAGGAAACCCTAAAGATTGCAAAAAGAATAATGAAAACCATTTAAAAATTGGTGGAATGGAGATATTGCTTTAAATGTACACAATATGAATGCCAATACCATAGAAATGCAAATTGAAATGTCATAAAAGAAAAATCCAATTTTATCCTATGGCAAAGTTGTACGCGACTTCCTTATAATATCATTGACTCCCAAATATTATGTACATTTTACCTACACGAGTATCTATTTTGAAATAGCAATGCATGTCTTATACTTTATAAGAATTACATATACACCACATTCTCACTAACAATATAATTATCTTGCATTAAACATGTATAATTTGCCGTGCCGTCCCGGCATATAATGGGGGATTCCTTTCCCGTGAGTGTCGTAAGAGGCGACTTAGGGAACATAACGGCCGAGGGACGGACAGCGGCGTCTTACAATATCACCTGTGGTTATCAACCTGCCTACCAAGTGTAGCAACTATTGGCAAATCCTGGGCTGATTTGCCAACAGTTGCTACCTCCCTTTATGGGGAGACCTTTGTTCAAATGTGATCAGTTAATAACTGATTTGATGATGATGATGAACATATAACCAAAACTACTAAGTCTAGAAAAACTGAAATTTTCAATACAGGTTTACAGTACGTCAAGATTCACTAAGAAAGGATTTTTAAAAATCTCAATTTAAAGGGGAAGTCAGACACCAAACGTGCAAAGCTGCGGGCAACAACTAGTAAGAATATAAATACTAATGGACATATAGTAAGCAAAGCCAAACTAAGCACAGATTATGGCTACAGATGGTAGACTTATACAACTTCATAAACATAATCACATACTCCTCAGAGTCCATAACGCGCGCGTAATGTCCCTGGTGTTACTGACGTGCCTGGTATTCAGGCTATATTTAGGTAGCTGTTTACCATCAGGTGGGCCATTTGCTTGTTTACCACCCCAATGGTAAAAAAATACTTTTTCTGCAAATACATAAGCACATTAGATAACATCCACATAAACAAGAATACGTTTCCACCAGATTATTGATCGGATGAATTATAATCTAAATATTTTTTTTTAGTTTTACCCATTTTTGCTCCATCTTAAACCGAGATCGTGATCAATCGTGGGACCCACCAACAGTATAAAGAAATTCTATTTTTTTTTCAGATAGCTGGCCTCATTTTCGTACCCAACGTGAATCATGTCAAAGGGTTCTGGGACATGAATGCTGTACTGTCCAACTACAGTTCAGCCACAGAGAGCGGTATACAACTCACTCTTGGCTTAATGTCCATTATGCTGTGCGCAGTCAGCATATTGCTACTGATTGGTGCTTGCTGTGTTAGTTGATCCTCTATTTCTTACCATCCTGTTCCTTTAAATAAGAAACAAATGAATCTCTTGAATCCCGCCATAAACTAAAATTTCATCCCAACCATCTGGCGGTCCTCCACCGTGCGTTTTTGAAGGCACTTTCTTCCACGCACAACCACTCTTTGGAATCAACTTCCAGCAGCAGTATTTTCGAACCGATACGACAACATAATCTTTAAGAAAAGATCATATTCCTTTTTAAAAGGCCGGCACCACACCTGTAATGCCTTTGATGTTGTGGGTGATTATGGGCGGCGGTAATCACTTACCATCAGGTGAGCCGCATGCTCGTTTGCTCCTTGTGTTTGTTGTAAAAAAAAAGATATATTGCTATGTATGCGCGAGGTAGTGCCGTGTAGTCTTGGCGTAGAGTGGGCCATCGCCTCCTTTCTTCTGGGTATCGTAAGAGGCGACAACGGGGATTAGGAGGTCGAGGAATAGGAGGGTTCCTTTTTAAATACGAGTATCACCAAAGCCTGACCTAGCTAACCCGCTTACCAAGCATAACGACTACTGGCAAAAGCCCCTTAGCAGAAAAAGGCCTAGATTCTGCAGAGGACTATCAACGGATTATATGATGATGCGTGTATATATACCGTGGATTTTTTTACTGTAACCACACCTGCGTTATTAGTATATGCTTGAGGGGTAACAGTGGGAGAATATAGGTAAAGATGAAAGCAGTTAGCTTATCGTGACCGATTTCACAAGAATTAAACAAGATGATTTCCATAGAGTCCAATATTCAGCAAAAGATTGAGATCTGATGGTATTCGTAAGTAAAGGCAATACATGATAAGTACTTAGTATTCTCTCTTCCTTTCAATGTATTCTATAATATATTTGCAGCTATACATGTTTATAGATGACAACTTACCATCGAGTGGGCTGTCAGCTTGTTTGTCCTTCTGAGTATAAAAATTGTACAAATTTTAGACCACAAAGTATATGGATTGGTAATGTAAAAGAGAAACGGCTACGTTAGAACGAGATAGACACGTAGGTCATTCACCTACACAATATAAGCTCGAAGTGGATTTAGCGGGAGCATTAGAAGGAGTTATAATTATTATTATATTTTTGAATGGAATTAGTTTTAAATAAATGTAGTTAGTTATAATTATGTATACTTTCCAGAACTTGCCAATCCTTATAGAAATATACCAGTGGGGCGCGGTGGTGTACAGTGGTACCGTTACGCTGCTGTTTTTTATTCTGGCTATGTTCTGCTTCTTCGTACACACCAATTGTTACTTGGCGGGTGGCGTCCTCTGTGCTCTTATCATTTGTAACATATTACGTTAGTATGCCATTAACTTTTTCCGTGCCAGCAATGACACAGCCTAATCTTAACGTATTAACATAATTTGTAACTAGACAATGTTCATTATATATTCCGGCATTACGCCAAATTAGTAGCGGTTTTCAGAGTTGTGTTCCTGAAGATACAACTTAATCTGGTACGTGTTTCATTTTCATACGTCTTCTAAATGTGATTAATTCAATTGGATAAGAATATTATTATTAAAATTGACGGAATTATAAAAAAAAGGTCGACAGAATTGAACACCTCCTTTTTTTTTTTGAAGTCGTTTGAAAATTTCATAAAAATCGGTCGAGTCATTTCGACACGAGATTTATATATATAGATACATACAATCCTTTATAACAAAGATAATATGAACATATTTGAAAACCAAACGCTGCTCTTAGGTGGCTCAAGCTTTGCGCAACCGGTAAAATTCTTTTCTGAGAATAACATAATGCATTGTACATTCTATTTACTAAGATTTTATATATCAACACTGTCTATGGAATGTATTCTAGTGCCCACTTACTTTATAACATAGCTCAGGAAATCCTATGAATAATATATTGTTTCTAGACTCAATAGATTATATATTTATTTACACTTTATTGTACCAAGTAAAAAGAGAAATAACAAATACAGTAAATATTAATGAGAAGTGATACAAAAGGCGGCCTTATCGCTAAGCAATCTCTTCCAGACAACCTTTGGGTAGAGGACATTGAGGAAAAGACAAAGTGTAGGTGGCGCACTATTAAATAAATATTATCATATACAAATATTATCATATACAAATATATATACATACATAATTATACATACATATATAATATATACACAATTAAATATATACATAAACATACACATAGTTAACAGCACACATACAACAGAAAAAAAATGACGAAGGAAAACGAAGAGAGAACACAGGAAAATAGTACTAAAGTGAGAGGTAGTAAGATTTAACAGAGGTTTTGAAGCTAGTAAGAGTTTTAGCGCACCGAATACGAGGGTAGGTAGTGAGTTCCATAGGCGAACTGTCTGAACAGTAAAGGATTTAGAATAAAAGGAAGAAGAATGAGTGGGAATTTTTTTTTGTGGATGAAAATATAATGGTATTAATTATATAACAGTATACTAGTAGTAATGGGAAAGGGATTGTTAGTAATGGGGTCTAATTAACCCATTGCTAGCAATACACCCTACCAGGTCGACCTCCACGCGGTTCCCCCTGGAAACCGTTGTGGTTAATTCTAGTGGATTTAGTCACGATGGGCTAACTGACCAACTTTCATCCTCACCTATCATTCCTCACTGGTGCCCTGCCAGCGTATCCCGATAGCGCAGGCAGGGTTACCATTATAACTCATTAAAAAAAAACCTCTCCTGCGTTAACAGTATATGTTGGCAGAGTTCTCGTACCTTGAGGGGTAATAGGTGAATTGTGAAGAATTCATTGCCCTTCTATCAGTTTAAGTTACGTATATTTTAGTCGAGAAATCTCGACTAATTTCGACCCTGACTACGCACCTCGGTCCGTTCAACGCAAGCGCTCACGTCCTAGTCATTCACGACTAAAAATCCCGAATATTCTTTCGGGAACATTTGGGATTTCTAGTCTAGTCGAGCTTTCTCAACTAAATTACAAGTAAGTTAAACCAGTAGTTATTATATTAAAATATAATGTGTACTTATGAAATTTTAAAAAAACGAAATAAGTGTAATTTATTTGTATTTCATTCACATTTCAGTGACCGCATATTTTGTGATGGTGGCCAACAGTCTTCGCATGTCGTTGAAATTCCTCAGCAGTGAAGGTCTAATGCTTTGAACGTGCCCCGAATTGTTCATTAACAAGATCGTCCTGCGAACTCGTCAATTGTTTTTTGTAAGTGAAACTTTTCGTGAATAAAGTGTTAGACTTTCACATTCCTTTTTGTTTGATTTGCCCTTCCACGGAATCGTGGCTCAATTAAAAATTGATAAAGATAGTTCTAGGAAATCGATTGTATTATCGATATTTTTTTATTGAAATAATATTGGCACAGATAATATAATACTAATAATATAATATTATAATAGAAGGTAAGATAGAAGGAAGGAGGGGGAGAGGGAAACCGAGACATAGTTACATCAGGCAGATCAAGGAAGGAGTTGGTGTCGTGTCGTATCAAGAGGTGAAGCGACTCGCTGAAAATCGTAGTGAGTGGCAAGAGCTCCACCGACAAGAGCGCAGCTCTTAAATAGGATAGATAGATACGAATATATTATAGGATACGGAGGCTGCTAGATTAAGAAACAGTGTGATTAGAGAGGAGTGTGAAATACGTGCTGTTATGCATGCTTGCACCTGTCAATCGTGGCAACTACTGGCGAAACCTCCCAAGGGGGCGGTTTATGTTCAGCAGTTGACAGTTAAAGGCTAATGTGATGATGATGAGCGTACCTTCTAAATCGAAATATCGCTATGCAAATATAGCTGTTTTACATCAAAAATACCAGAGGGAGACTTTGTACAAAAATCGATTGCTTGGGTACCTCTGTCCCATTCGTGTATCAACCGTGAAGCAGTTGTGTTTACATGGCTGTGTTTCGGTTTGAAGAGTGGCATATAGCGTGAATCTACTGGGTACAGAGGAATAACACCTGAGTCCTCAGGAATGGCAACGCATAGGGGGTATCATGGGGGAAACAGTATACTCTGTTATGTCCATGGTACTGCTCGTGTCTATAGGCGACGGTTACCACTTTCCATCAGGTGGGCCGTCAGATTGTTTGCCATTCTAAGTTGTAAAAAAAAAAATACGAATAGCACAAAGGTACGCATACTGACGACTTGTACATAGCCTCGCTCTGGTAAAATTTGCTAGAAATTCACAAATAAAATATGATAATAAATTGTCACAACACAATATAGCCAAACATAAATACCTAATGATAAACTAGGCAGTCATCTGTCAATCGATACTGGCTTGAAATATAGGGGGTGTTTGTTGCGATGTCATAAGAAACAGCATATATAAATAATAACACTTTTGTACATAGCAGATTAATGTTCCCAGCATAACATTAATATCTGCCACAGCGACATTTACCGGCCGTCTGAGTAAATCCGCTAAACACAGTTCTACCAGCCGTTCATTTCCGTTCTCGCGAAGTTTTGTCTCAACTAAGTTCGAAGGTATTCAGAATAGAAACAAAGATCATAAATGTGATATATCTTCTTTCAGTCTCACTTGTGTAAAGCACCCTGTAAAATTGATACCAGACGAGGACAGTATAATGTCTGCATAGGATTTTTTTAACACATGAAAATAGTCTATGGTTTCGAATTTTAACAACAGTATTTTTTATAGCTGAATGTGGAATGGTAATCCCGCTTGCGTTTATGGTACAGGCTGGCGAGACACCAGTGAGAGATGACAAGTAAGGATAAATGCAGGTCAGTTCACCCACCATGGCGAATTTGACGAGAATGAACCACTATGGTTTTCAGGGGAAACTGCTCGAAGGTCGACTCGATAGAAGAATTTACCATGGAGACAGCTAAGTTAGCTAACGCATATACCGACAGCGCTGGCGGGGTTATTACCCCTTTTTCATCATTAAAATAATGCTCTTATTTTAATTACCATTATCTTCCTAATATATCTGATATTAAGCTGCTATACTTATCGTTATAAAAAAATAACTAAGTGCCCAAACTCAGAATAGGATTGCAATATACTTTGTGATATTTATGGTGCTTTTCACGTCTTTTGGCTCTAGTTATTAATTTTAATCTGGTGATCTAAAAGTTGGTTTGCTATTTCAAATCGCATTAAAAGAATTACCCAAGACAGACACGTCATCTACTTTACTGATCAACATTCGGTTTGTCCTTTTCCTCTGGCTTTCCGTGACTTAAAATCTGGACTTTTTTTACAAAATTCACTGTAGCGATTGCCAAAATCTCAGAAAACACAGATGTATGTATGTGTGACTATAAAAAATTTCAAATAGACAAATTATCCGCCAGTAGGTTAATTTTCAATCGAAGAATTCAGAAGTTGTTTAACTTCGAAATAGTACACGCAAACAATGTTCGAAGCATAAGAACTAGCAAATTATACTTGTAAACTTCCAAATCAATAAATCTGCCAACAACAACAAAGCAATAGACGCTGCGAAAGAACACTCCAAGTATTCCCAAACTCGAATTCTTCAGCTTATTTTAATCAACCTTTGATCGTAACTTTGATTCGAGGACCGTTTACCCTTCGAACAAAATGGCCAATTCACTGACATTTTAAGGTTTTTGTTAAGCATAGGCACTTAAGGTAACAATACCTGTGGAATTAGTTATGAATTAAATTCCAATAGATGGATATTGGATTTGGAAAGGTTCGCAATTTTAAATTGCAACACTAGCGACATAATGGTTTCATATTGTTCGGATAGATGCATATCAATGCCAATGCAAACTATTGCAAACCGATCCTGGTTCTAACCAAATTGTAAATTCATGAGGGCAGTACAATTATCATTGGTAATAAATTGGATTGATATCAATATTCATTACACATCATATTTAGCCATTAAATGGTCATTGCAGAAAATAGGCTTCCCTAGTAAGGAAGGTTTTCCAGGGGACTACAGATATCTTAAACCGCGGGATATCGTTAAGGTAACACATAGGATCTATGAAATTATGGTATAAGGCAGGGGGAGCACAAAAGATTCCGATGGGTCGACGTGCAACGGCTTAGCTGACCCCATATGCGAATATAAGATAAGATAAGGAAGGTTTTGCCAGTAGTTGCTACGTTTAGCAGGTGAATTGGCAATCACAGTTAGGCTTTCATGATATTTTAAGAGGGATGCTACTGCATATCCCTTGACCATTAAGTTCCTCTAGTCGCCTCGTACGAAAACTACGGGAAAAGAAGGGATAGTCCATTCTATGCCAGGACCACACGACAAGTATTCATTATCGATTCAAGAATAAACCTACTGGGCTCTCAATGCATTAATTCGGTATCGAACAACCTGAGGGTTCGTGAGAGAAAACTCCTCTAAAACTGCATTCTACGCGATCATTTAGATTTAAGCGTACGAGTGTTATTTACTATATAACACACCTCGGTTTCAGGGGAATTGTTAACAGCCCTGTAGTTATCAATGTATCTTATAAAGTCAATTAGCACGTGGTCCTTCCTCTAATTTTGAGTAAGCGATTTTATTTTTTATATTCTTTATACACATAAATAGTTTTACAATATATTTTAATAATTTTAATTCAATTCATAGTTTATATACTATTAATTGAATATTATTCTTATCAGTTTTGATTTGTTTATAAGAATACACCTACTTACATCTTTTTAAAAACATATTCAACTTTTTTTTTCTGATGTCTCAATATTTAAGGTTTTTTTTTTTTATTGGATGAAAATGGAGTGGTAACCCCGCCTGCGGATACACTGGCAGGGCACCAGTGAAGGGTGATCGATGAGAATGAAAACAGGCCAGTTAGCCCATCATAGGAATTTGCTTTGACTTCCACGAGACAGGCTTTGCCTAGTGTGGGGTCATAGATATATTGTACCATAGGCTAATTTTGTTAAAGGAAATAAAGATATTCTATTCTATTCTATACATGATAGTTTCCAGGGAGAACCGCGAGGAGGTCGACCTGGTTGGATATATTGCTAGCAATGGGATTCTCAGTCTCCATTACTAACAATCCCTTTTCCCCCCAATATTTAAGGTTATCATTTTTATACATTTCGTGGTCGTAGCCTATTAAAAAAAAAATTAAATTAAAAAAAAATGAAATATTACATCATTAATTTCCGAACGTTTATTTTAATGTCAAATAACTCTAAAACGTTGCAACTACATTTAGAGAATTTTCGATTTATATCAACGAGGAGTATATAAAGGATTACTTGAACAGATTTTCAAGATAACGTGTCCAAATATGACATTGTATAGAAGAGAACAATGTGCCTAAAATGTGCAAAAACCTACATTTAATAAATGTCTATATTGTATAGAACTCAAAGACGGCGTATTTACTGTATCCAGTATGTTTACCAGAGGTAGACTTTGTACAAAAGTCGATTGCTTGGGTACCTCTGTCCCATTCGTGTTTCAACCGTGAAGCAGTTGTGTTTGCATGGCTGTGTTTCGGTTTGAAGGGTGGGATATGGCGTGAATTTACTGGGTACAGAGGAATAACACCTGAGTCCTCAGCTAATCAGGAATGGCAACGCATGGGGGGTATCATGGGCGAAACAGTATACTCTGTTATGTCCATGCTACTGCTCATGTCTATAGGCGACGGTTACCACTTTCCATCAGGTGGGCCGTCAGCTTGTTTGCCATTCTAAGTTGTATAAAAAAAAATCAAAATTGAGCATAGTGAGTGTTGTTTAAATAGTTTTATTTATTTTATACTTCAGGATAAAATGTCTTTTGATAACTTGATAGTATTTGGGAATAGTTAGTTTTAAACCTTTGCATTGTTTACACTTAGTTTTAACACACAATCGAGACTTAACGCGATGTAAAAGCCTTTACATGTAAATAGTACTTACATACCTGTTTCTTTATTGCCTACGTTTCGACGTGGATTGCGAACTAGCGGTCCCATTGTTAACGTCATAGGTACATTACAAGCTTAATATCCATGCGATCACCCTGGACTTGTTCAAAACTCTCCCCCTTCTGGTATTCCTCTATTAAATCCACTCCATTAGTAATTATAGTAGTTTATGCATAATATGACTTTTTTTATACAACTTAGAATGGCAAACAAGCTGACGGCCCACCTGATGGACAGTGGTGATCGTCGCCTATAGACATGAGCAGTACCATGGACATAAGAGTATTCTGTTTCGCCCATGATACCCCCCATGCGTTGCCATTCCTAAGGACTCAGGTGTTATTCCTCTGTACCCTGTAAATTCACTGGCATATCCCACTTTTCAAACCGAAACACAGCCATGCAAACACAACTGCTTCACGGTTGAAACACGAATGGGACAGAGGTATCCAAGCAATCGACTTTTGTACAAAGTCTCCCTCTGGTAAAAGTAACTGACAGTATTTCCTCTTTGTATGGGTAATATACTTGAATGATATTATAATATTGCTGTGTGGTCCCGGCGTAGAATAGGCCACCCCTTCCTTTCTCGTGGTTGTCGTAAGAGGTGACTAAGGGAGGGCGAGTGATGGATAGCAGCGTCCCTATTAAAATATCTCCAAAGCTTAACTGCGGTTGCCAATTCGCTTGCCAAGCGTGGTAAGTACTGGTAACCCCCTATCCCTCCAAGTAGGAGGCTTATGTTCAGCAGTGGACATTTAAAAGCTGATATAATGATGATGACAATACCTAATAATGGGGGGAAAGGGATTGTTAGTAATGGAAACTGAGAATCCCATTGCTAGCAATATACCCAACCAAATCGTCCTCCTCATGGTTCCCCCTGGAAACTATCATGGTTAATTCCTGATGAATTCATCACGATAGGCTAACTGGCCTGTTATCATTCTCATCTATCGCCTTTCACTGGTGCTCCGCCAGCGTATCCCGTTAGCGCAGCCGGGGTTACTATACCATTTTTACTCATCAAAAAAATACCTAAGAATATTACGTGTGCTTAAAAAATGTTCATATGTACACAGTGCATATAAAATTTGTTTTTTTTTTTTTTAATTTTGCATATTGCAATAAACAATTTTCCATCGACTACATAAAGAAGTAGGTTCTCGACACGGTTGTAATTTTTTTACGCTTGTTACCTTACAACTGCGTCAGTTGTAAACCGATTCAGGAACACGTAAAGCCGTTGTGCAGTGACCCGTGGCAGAGGCCTTCGAATGCGGCTGAAAACTCTTGACATCTAAAGAACACCCTCACACAGTAGGAGTAGATATATTTTTTTAATTATCGATTGATTTGATCATGCTGTATACGCATATTTTTAGAGAGTTAGCTTGAACAAAGCATTATTGTACTGTATAAATTAATATAACATTGTTAATTCTCTGTAATGTGTACCTATAGAAATATTTATATTTATATATATATATATATATATATATATATATATATATATATATATATATATATATATATATATATATATATATATATAAATATTTGAATTTTATATATTGAATTTTATGTATAATGGGCGTAACAGTATACTCTGTTATGTTCATGGTACTGCTAATGTCTATAGGCGACGGTTACCACTTTCCATCAGGTGGGTCGTCAGCTTGTTTGCCATTCTAAGTTGCATAAAAAAAAACCTCCAATCGAATTAAGAATCTTCTTCTTTTTGAAGTCGACTAAAAACCAGATAGAAGTACATAAATTAGACAATTTTGAACAATACAATTCGTACCTGCGGTCAATGACCTCGGACCGTTTCAACTGTGAACGGACGCGTGAGAATTTAAGGATAATTTATTAGTCTACAATTTTCACTAGCATTTATTCACAATAGCTTTCATTCGTTGTGAATGTCTAAGGTCTCAAACAGACAATTTTCATTTGATCTTACCTTCAGGCACTATATATAATCTATGATCTTACCGCCAAACATAAGTACGTTGTACAGTCAACGGCACAAGTTACAATAAAAAATTGTGTCCCAAAAAAAAAAACACTTTAATTGTGACAAAATCAATTAATAATTAAGTTGGTTTTTCTTGTATATTGTATGAAATATTCTGAATCACATATGTAAACATGTACGCCATTCACTATCGTTCGTATGCCAGCCATGCCGATATGTAAGCACAAGTAAAGGAAAACCCAAAAACCGTAAATTTGCAGTTATTATTATTACGATTTTATACGGAACCCTTATTGCGCAAGTCCTATTCGCATTTTATTAGCTTTTTTTTTAATTTTCAACCGATTTTGATAGACATTTTTCATATTCTTACTCTGTAGCACAACTTGATTCCTTGATACAAGTTACTCTCTAAAGTACTAGGAGATCAGAACTATGTAGAAGGTGCAACATTCATTACATGTGTATTTAGGTCTTGCATCCATAGACGTCTATTTAAAAATCTGTACTGTATTTTTAAATTATAAAAGACCGCGGATATTATTCTTATCTGAATTGCGGTGCCACTACAGTGTGTTATATGGGGGGGGGGGGGGGGGGGGGGGGGGGGAATTGTTAGTATTGTGTACCAATGGCCTCATTGCTAGCAAGTCTTGTTAGGTCGACCTCCACACGGTTCTTCCTGGAAACCATTGTGATTAATACTTCTTGCATTCGCCACGATGGGCTAACTGACCATGCTTTCATACACACCTATCATCCCTCACTGGTGCCCCGCCAGTGTATACCGATAGTGCAGGCGGGTTCACCATTTCATTACGAGTATCATCCATTAAAAAAAAGCGTGTCATATGCTTTATATACTTACCTTTTATACTGTAATAACTAATCTGTACCATATGTCATGTAAATAACCATAAATCTATGATATATATATTCTAGGATGGTTACTACTATAAGCCTTCTATCGTAGCAGGTTCTGTAAACATGCACTTCTTACTAATCTACGACAGTATATAATTAAGTCTACATAAAACCAATACTTGTAAATTTTTATTGTATTTCTGTTTTTTTTTTTTTTTCAATAAGTACATATTACAGAGAATTAACAATATTATATAAATTTATACAGTACAATAATGTTTTTTTTTCAAACTAACCTTTAAAAAATATGTGTAAACAGCGTGATTAATTTTTTTTTTCAATGGGTAAAAATGGTATAGTAACCCTGCCTGCGCTAACGGGATACGCTGGCGGAGCACCAGTGAAGGGTGATAGATGAGAATGAAAACAAGCCAGTTAGCTCATCATGATGAATTCATCTGGAATTAACCATGATAGTTTCCAGGGAGAACCGCGAGAAGGTAGACCTAGTTAGGTATATTACTAGCAATGCGATTCTCAGTCTCTATTACTAACAATCCCTTTCCCTCAGCGTGATTAAATTATAAACTGAAAAGAATTGTCTATTCTTGCTCTATCTAAGTAAACATTTTTAATCTATGGCGCGGCCATTTGTGGTAACGTCAAATTTTAAATTCGTAAACATTGAAACAAAAATTCGAACAATGTGCGACGTATTCCCCGAGTTCCAAACATGTTGTCTTATAATATCGTTGCGTCTCGGAATGCTATTTATTTCAGTGTTATGTATTGTAAGTTACTTAAATTTGTCATTCGTTTATAGATTAGGTAACTTCATCACGTTATTTTTCCCAATAGAATAGTAAATAGTATATATTTATATTTTTTACCAGAGGGACACTTTGTACAAAAATCGTTTGCTTGACACCTCTGTTCCATTTGTGTTTCAACCGTGAAACAGTTGTGTTTGCATGGCTGTGTTTCGGTTTGAAGGGTGGGACATGGCGTGAATTTACAGGATACAGAGAAATAACACCTGAGTCCTCAGGAATGGTAACGCATAGGAGGTATCATGAGCGAAACAGTGTACTCTGTTATGGCCATGGTACTGTTCATGCCTATAGGCGACAGTTACCACTTTTCATCAGGTGGGCCGTCAACTTGTTTACCATTCTAAATTGCATAAAAAAAATATTGACTACAAAAAATTATCAATTCATCAGCCGTTAACTGTCCGCTGCTGAACATAAGCCCCGCCCAAAAGGGGGGTTTGCCAGTAGTTGCCACGCTTGGCAGGCAGGTGCAGTTAGGTTTTGGTGATGATTTAAGGAGGTCGCTGCTGCCCATCCCTTTACCATAAGCTTCCTTAGTTGCCTCTTACGACACCCACGGGAAAAGATGGGGTGGCCTATTATATGCCAGGACCTGGACTGCTACGACAAACCATTGTTACAAAAGAGACAAAAAAATTACCAAAAGGTCCTTATTTATTTATTTTATACAAAAATACACAGCTCTTAAAAACACAACTTACATGCTAAGTCTCTTATGAATACAGCCAATAACGGATTTTATTTATACAAACAAAAATTATAATTCCAAAGCGAGGTAGGCAAGTTAGAGTGGGTGTATGCAAGTAATATAAGCACATGTATGAAAGAAAACATATATAATAATGAATGTCCATAAAGTCAGTTTCATTAATACATAAAATAATTAAAATCTATGTTGCTACAGTTCAGATATTGACAGCAATGATTAAGTACCAGAGGGAGACTTTGTACAAAAGTCGTTTGCTTGGGTACCTCTGTCGCATTCGTATTTCAACCGTAAAGTAGTTGTGTTTGCATGGATGTGTTTCAGTTTGAAGGGTGGGATATGGCGTAAATTTACAGGATACAGAGGAATAACACCTGAGTCCTCAATATATTGCTAGCAATGGAACTATTAGACCGCATTACTAACAATCCCTTCTCCCCACTTCTGTCTATACAGTTACAAACAAAACAAGAAGTAGCCAAATAGGTGCAATCATTCTGAATAGGAATATTTGGATAGCCGTGCGAAACCGGGGCGGAAAGTTAGTTAATAATAATGTAGTTCATTGCGCACATAACCATTCAGTTCAATGGTTATTTGCGCAATGAACTATAGAGAAAAGCATTTTGTAACGTAATAAAATTGATAAACGTTTCAATTTGCGTCGTGCTGATACATTTATTGTTGTTGGTTTGACGCCTTATTTACAATTTTATGCTGAACATAGTTTTACAAATGGACGTGTCGCATTCAATATGACGTGTATTATATACTTTTTTATTGTCAATGGATAATAATGTCATAGTAATCCCGCCTGCGTTGACGGTATACGCTGACGAGCCACCAGTGAAAGATGATAAGTGAGAATGAAAAGGCAGGTCAGTTAGACCATCGTGACGAATTCAACGATAAATTAGTCACGATGGTTTCCAGAAGGAACATGGGGAGGTCAACCTGACAGGTCAACCTATTCCGCATTACTAACTACCCCCCCCCCATCCTGTACTAATACACTTCATTAAATTGGCGGTGATATTTCGAAAAATGAATCTTTGTGTGTTAAAATAAATATGCATATCGATGCAACATTACCATATCAGCCGTTGGCTGCCCTCTGTTGAACATTAGTTGTCAACAGTAGTTGTCACTTGGCAGGCGGATTGGCAACCGCAGTTAATATTTGGTGATGTTTTAAAAGAGACTCTCGACCTATTAATTAAAATCACATAATTTACTGGGTACAGAGGAATAACACCTGAGTCCTCAGGAATGGCAACGCATGGGGGGTATCATGGGCGAAACAGTATACTCTGTTATGTCCATGGTACTGCTCATGTCTATAGGCGATGGTTACCACTTTCCATCAGGTGGACCGTCAGCATGTTTGCCATTCTAAGTTGTATAAATATATATATATATATATATATATATATATATATATATATATATATATATATATATATATAATCAATATACATCGCGTGTGGTCCCGGCATGGAATGGATTCTTCCTTTCCCGTAGTTGTCGTAAGAGGCGACTAAGGGAACTTAATAATTGAGGGAAGAACAGCAGCGTTTCTCTTAAAACGTCACTAAAGCCTAGCTGCGGTTGCCAACTCGCCTACCAAACATAGCAACTACTGGCAAAACACCCCACGCGATTTATTTCCAGGCCAATTAACAGCTGATATGATTTTTTTTATACCACTGAGGTGGCAAACAAGCATACGGCCCACCTGATAGTAAGTGGTTACCGTAGCCTATGAACACCTGCAATGCCAGAGGCATGATGATGAGCATTGATTACTACGTCAATGATAGATAAAGTTAAGTTTACTTAACAAGTAACTGTCCTTTAAGGTACTGACAAAAATCCAACTGGAAAATTCATCTCATAAATTTACTGAGAGTTTTACATCCACGTTTAAGGGTGGAGTGATAAAGTGCTTTCAAGGGCTAAGCCCTCTCGTTCACTTTACATCTAGATTAATTGCCGAAGTTGATTTTTGAATCGATAATGGCCGATGGCACGAACTAAATCTGGTAACGATCCTCATTCTAGATCAGTGTTTCCCAAAATTTTTTGTTCCCTTACCCCACTTGAACATATCTAAAATTTTTATACCCCATATATAATTTTTTCCGACAAAGTTTACTTGACGACTCTAATCGCCCAGTTGATATTTTGGTAACGTCCAACAAAATTATACCTAATAAATATTTACAGCATTTTTTTTTTATTTACTTTTTTGTTAAATTTGGCACAGATATCTACTCATAGCATTGCATTTAAATGGCTCGGAGCAAGAAGATTAAAATTGCTTCGAGTCCATTTTTATAATAGTTTATAATTGCCCCTCTTAACTATCAAATTACCCCCTGTGGGGCGTGGGCCTCACGTTGGGTAACACCGTTCTAAATGATGTACTAATTTTTATTTATTTATTTATTAAACTTTAATACACTTAGTGTAAATGGCGGACTTAACACTATATGGCGTTATCTACCAGTCGACCGTAGATAGAAATAACAGAAAATATAATTGACAACGTAACGAGAAAATAAGTACAAAAACAAAAACTATTAAATTGAAACAATAAATCTAAATAATATTTTTTTTATGCAACTTAGAATGGCAAACAAGCTGACGGCCCATCTGATGGAAAGTGGTAACCGTCGCTTATAGACATGAGCAGTACCATGCACATAACAGAGTATACTGTTTCGCCCATAACACCCTTCATGTGTTGCTATTCCTGAGGACTAAAGTGTTATGCTTCTGTACCCTGTAATTTCATTGTCATATCCCACCCTTCAAACCGAAACACAGCCATGCAAACATAACTGTTTAACAATATTTGTTAACCCACAGATGACTGGTGTAACGAGTCTTTGCGCCGTAGAACAAAATTTCAACGCCAGCTTCGATAACCTCAAGAATATTACTGATATCAAAAGTAAGATTTTTTTTATATCACAAAAGTGACAAGCATACAGCCCGTATGATGGTAAACGGTCACTGTAGCCTATGGACACTCATATGTTATATATTTACTTATTCCTAAGCAAAGCGGGGAAGGGAATCGTTAGTAATAGAGACTGCTAACCACATTGCTAGTAACTTATCTTTAAAAGAGATTTCTTCCAGTCTTCCGTCCATCAAGCATCAACATGATCAACCATAATCATGTTGATTTTAATTAATTAATATTCTAATTTTATTTATCCCAATTATTTATTTGTGGCCAGAGCAATTTACCTCTTCCATTCTTCTATATCCACAGTCGTATCCGCATTCACTCCTGTTCTGGCCATAACATCTTTCACATAGTCCATCCTTGTAGTTTTGGGTCTTACTCTACTCTTGTTACTATCCATACTAATGTTGTTACTATTTCCCAAATACTTTTCAGAACCTGAGGACGTGATATCTAGAATCAGTAACATAATATCGACGGGTATTACAACTGTGTCCTATCTATTTATGATCGGTGGTCTTGCTCTATTCTACGGCACTATATCGGTAAGTGGATTCTCATATTTAAAAATATATTATTATATTTTGTAGCTCCTGTAAATTTTAGATTGTGTTTCATAAGAAAAATCGACTTAAATCGTAATAAAACCACGGTGGTATTTTTATTTAAAAACTAAACTGCTGAACAGGTTTTGATAAAAATTCTAGAAACCAATCTGAATGTATATTTTTTCAGATAAGAAAAATATCCGAATTGATTTATAAATGACGGAATTATGAGACAATAAACGTAAAAAATTACCGTGTAAGTCCCGGCATAGAATAGACCACCCCTTCCTTTCCCGTAGGTGTCGTAAAAGGCGACTAAGTGAGGACGAGGGATGGGCAGAGTCCCTCTTAAAACATCTCCAAAGCTTAGCTGCGGTTGCTAATCCGCTTGCTAAGTGTGGCAATTATTATTAAGATATCTCAAGGAGGAAGCTTATGTTCAGCAGTGGACAGTTAAAGGCTGATATGGTGATGACGATGAGACATGAAAAATACAACTAATTTGAGTACCTCTTTTTTTTAAGTCGAGTGAAAATTTTCAATGTCTCTTTATTAATAAGGGTATATTATTCCTCCATTTGTGTACTGTAAATTTTTCTATTAAGCGTTACAGCGTTAAACATCTTTACAAAGTAACAGCCAACAATATGGGTATATAAGTATATACAGATTAAATTAGGTTATGAATTTTGAATGGCTTCCAAAAGAGAAATCTTAATTCGAAATTTTTTTGTTCAATTTTATCTTAACATTTTTGATATGATAGTGCTCAGGACTTTATATTCACACGAATTCACAATTTGAGTAATTCAAGTTTTTGAAAAGCTGTTGCATATAGCTAAGTTTCTTACGCGATCTTCTTAGTTGAAATTGCATTTCGAATTAGCGGTACAAATATAAAAGAAATTACTATTAAAAATTCTTAATTTAAATTTATTCAAATAATTAACGAAAATATACGAGAAGTAGCCGTAAATAATTTTAAAGTCAATTTAAAACGTTGGCTCCAGGAAAATTATTTTATTCGATAAAAGAATTTGTATCAAAGAGATTTTGACATTTTAATTATTCAAATAAATTAATTTCGTATATAAATAAATTTAAAAAATTTGACATTCTATTTACTATTTATTTATTTATTGTAATTAGAATTAATATTGTTACCGTGAGGTCTGAAATTATCTAAAATGTATTCACGGAAATACATTGTGCATGTTATTAAAAAAATGTGGTTAAATATGTGATACTATGACACTAATTAAGATCTGTTTCAACCATATTTATGCAAATTAATTATTATTATATAATTTGTTTCATGAAAAATCCCCCGACTTCAATTCTTAGAGTAGCAAAATCATTTATTTAAAAATAATAAAATTCAAAAACTAAAGAATTGAACCGATTTTGAATCGATAAAATTTCTAGAGGACAAATTAAAAAGTATATTATTTCAGATAAAATAAGAATTCTATGTGAAAAATTAAAAAGTATATTATATACTTTTTAATTTTTTCCCCTCAAAGAGAGTTGACGTCAAACAGGCGGGCGGTCGTAAAGCTAGAAGCCAAATCTTTTTGTAATATGGATATAAAAAATTTTATGCACGAAAAATTATTAATTCACTCTTACGCCACGTGCCCTTTTCTATCTGTTCTCCTTTAACCAAAGGTTATCTGTAAGAGATTGCCCTAGCAATAAGGTCGCCTTTTGTACCTTTATGTGTATATTTCAATCTGTATTTATGTTACTGTATTTCACTTGTCATTGTATATTTTTATTTATGGTGCAATAAAGAGTTAAATAAATAAATAAAACGTATTACGCCGACCCCAAATAATAATTGGGATGAGGATAGGAAGGTGATGATAAAATATAATAAGAATTTCTCAAATCGGTTTACAAATAGACAAGTTTTGAGATGACAAACATTAAAAAATATAACCGAATTGAGATCCACTTTTGTCGAAGTCGGTTGTAAACTGCTTGGTTTCTTTCTCTCAATAATTCTTTTTTTTTTACAACACAGGTGGCAAACGAGCATGCGGCTCACCTGATGGTAAGTGACTACCGCCGCCCATGATCACCCACAACACCAGCGGCATTGCAGGTGTGCTGCCGGCCTTTTAAAAAGGAATATACTCTTTTCTTGAAGGTTATGTTGTCGTATCGGTTCGGAAATACTGCTGCTGGAAGTTGATTCCAAAGAGTGGTGGAATACCGCCACTCAATATTTCAATAGTTTCAATAATTCTTCAGCTGTTCTTCGTATTTCACAGGGCGACGAAGGTGTAGTTCAGATCTTTGTTTGGCTGACGTTCCTGGGTGTGGTCATCGCGTATCTTTTGATTACTATGATCGCTGTCGAGTGTGTCACGCAGTCCAAATGCTTGCTCAGCGATATGGACTGGCTGTCAGGATCTGCGACACTGGTATTTGCTGCGTCATACCTTTGCGGTAAGCCCTTTACATCAATCAATTAATACATGTAATAAAATCGTAACTGGTTGCTGTCCGTACATTATCGATATATAAGAAAAACTATTATAGGGGCGTTTAATGAACGAAATATAACCCAAAACAATGATTTTTAGAATTTTTGTCTGTTTGTCTGTACGTTTGTGCACGCTAATCTCAGAAATGGCTTGACAGATTTGAATGCGTTTTTCGCTAATACGTTGCCATTTGCTCCACTTAACATTTAGTGTTTGTTTTATTTTAATCGGTTCATAAATAAAAAAGATATTACAATTTAAAGAATCACATATAAAATACTATAAAATAACCGATCAGTTGAATTGGCTGAAACTTTATAAAAGTATTAGGTACGTGATTATTATTTAAGTATATAATACAATATAAAACCCGATTCATGAAAAGTTCCAATGGGAATGATATACGAGAACTACATAGTTAGAAGCGGACAACGCCGCGAAAAACAGCTAGTACAATAATATATAAATAAAACAGCCAGTAAAACCAAGATGCTCGTTATTAGAATTAAATGGCAATTTTTTTTTTATACAACTTAGAATGGCAAACAAGCTGACGACCCATCTGATGGAAAGTGGTAACCGTCACTCATAGACATGAGCAGTACCATGGATAGAACAGAGTATACTGTTTTGGCCATGATACTTCCCATGCGTTGCCACTCCTGAGGACTCAGGTGTTATTCCTCTGTACCCTGTAAATTCACGCCATATCCCACCCTTCAAACCGAAACACAGCCATGCAAACACAACTGCTTCACGGCAGAAACACGAATGGGACAGAGGTACCCAAGCAATCGACTTTTGTACAAAGTCTCCCTCTGGTATTTTTTTTTAATTCCTTCCACACACCATCAAAATTATCTCCTGAAATATCGAAAAGAGATATAACATTGTCGTATTTAATATTTCATAAAACAGACAACTTCATTAAAAAAAATCTTACCTTATTTTTTATATTACGTCAAATTTTTCGAACAATCCATAACAATATTAATTCACTCAAAATTATTAATTATTCCTTACAATTATAATTTACTCCGTTTGATCTCTGTGTGGGTTCAAAACTCGTCATAAAGCATTAACCTTATCTAAAACTCGGACAAATTTAATTGTTAATTACATTACGTCAAGTCGGTAATCCATGTGGGGAATGGAGTAAGAATTAAGGTACCTCTGTCCCATTCGTGTTTCAACCGTGAGGCAGTTGTGTTTGCATGGCTGTGTTTCGGTTTGAAGGGTGGGATATGGCGTGAATTTACTGGGTACAGAGGGATAACACCTGAGTCCTCAGGAATGGCAACGCATGGAGGGTATCATGGGCGAAACAGTATACTCTGTTATGTCCATGGTACTGCTCATGTCTATAGGCGACGGTTACCACTTTCCATCAGGTGGGCCGTCAGCTTGTTTGCCATTCTAAGTTGTATAAAAAAAAATCCGAATGTCACAGTACACTTTCATCCTCAGAATATCGTAATACGAAACTACGAAAACAAAACAAAATAAACTAGTATAATAAGAGAAAAACTAATAATAGAATACGTACATAAATCAGTAACTTTAATAACAAAACAAAATATGTAGGGAGTAGAGGCCTTTTGCATTCTTTTCTCTCTCTCAACCCCACTTGAAAGGGGGAAAAGGATTGTTAGTAATGCAAACTACTAGTCCCTTTGCTAGCTATATATATATCCTGGCATGTCGACCTCCATGTAGTCCTAAATGGAAACCATCGTGCTGAAATATAAGTGTATTCATCACGATCGGTTAATTGACTTGCCTTATCATTCTCACTGTAACAAGTGTTGGAATTGTATGGATTGGTGTGGCAACACTGGACTTATAGATTATTGAAAATGGCTTCCTTGTACCACGTCTTGTATTCTGCTACAATAAAAGTATTAATAAAATAACACTATCTATCATTATAACATGGCGCAGTCGATGACTTAAACTGAAAAAAGCGATAGAAAGTGATAATAAATAAGTGATATTGAGTAAATAAATAAAAAAATATGGATTTGTTAAAGCCGCCGCCATCATTGTCGTTTACCGGCGACATTGCAGAAAATTATAAACGATTTAAGCAAAGATATCAGTTATATGTGAAAGCGTCAGGAGCTGATGTAAAATTAAATGATGAAGGACAAATAGCATTATTTCTTCACACAATAGGTGACGAGGTAATACAAATATATAATACTTTTGATTTAACCTCTTCTACAAAGTTCGATGACCTCATAAAGAAATTTGATAATTATTTCATACCCCAGAAAAATGAGTCGATGAATAAACATATTTTCTTTAGTAGAGTAATGAAGGAAGACGAATGCATCGACGATTACGTAACAGAATTACGTATATTGAGCAACGATTGTAATTTCGAGTCACTGCGAGACAGTTTAATTAGAGACCAGATTATTCGAGGAATAAGAGAGAAGAGCCTACGTGAAAGATTATTAAAAGAGCATGGTCTTGATCTAAATAAATGTATACAAATATGTAAAACGTTCGAAATAACTTGTATACAGATGCAGAAATTTGAAAAAGAGAATAAAATAGAGGTAGCAGAAGTAAAGAGAAACAGTAAGTATGAGTACAACAAGAACCAGTCAAAGGGAAAAAGTCAAACAGCACAAGGTAGACAATCTGAGGTATCAATACATAATGCAAGTAAGAAAAATAGTTCGTGTTATAAGTGTGGTTATAGTCATGGGTATAAATGTCCAGCATACAATGTACAATGTAGAAAGTGTGGACGCCGTGGTCATTTCGCGCGAGTGTGTAAAAATAAAAATAAAGTGCAAGTGATAAATGAATCCCTATCATCAGACATTGTGATTAGTTCTGTAGAGGTTGGAACAATAAATAAAAATGATTTATATGAGTCTCTTCAAGTAGGAAGCAAAATTATAGACTTTAAGTTAGATACAGGATCAGATTATAATGTGTTACCGTTGAAAATTATTAAGCAGTTAGGTTGTAATACAATGATTAAAAATAGTAATATTAAGTTACATAATTATGACGGGTCACAAATTAATAGTTTAGGTTTTATAGACTTGAGATGTAAACTGATCAATAATAGGCAAGTTAATTTGAGATTTCAAGTAGTAAAAGCAAATTGTACACCAATATTAGGTTGGAATACTATGAAACATTTAAAACTGTTTGAACGTAAATATCTGAGACAAATAAAATGTAATAAAAATATGCAGTGTCATGACATAATAAATAAGTATATAAAGATATTTGATACAAATAAAATAGGATGTATTAAAGGAATAGAATATGATATCAAGCTAAAAGAAGGTGCTCAGGGTAAAGTTGAACCCTGTAGAGGGGTACCAATTGCATTACATAAGCCATTAAAGATTGAATTAGATAGAATGGTACAGATGGGTATCATAGATAAAGTCACAGAACCCACAGATTATGTCAGTAATGTAGTTATTGTTAAAAAGCCAGATGGTAAATTAAGAATATGTATAAACCCAGGTAATTTAAATAATTGTATAAAAAGGGAACATTTTAAGTTACCCACGTTTGAAGAGGTGTCCTCTAAAATGACTGGAGCATCTATATTCAGCAAAATAGATGCAACAGCAGCATTTTTTCAGATTAAACTATCAGAAGCTAGTTCTAAGTTGTGTGTATTTAATACTCCTTTTGGAAGATATTATTTTAAAAGACTTCCATATGGCATAAGTTCTGCCCCAGAAATTTTTCATAGGCACTTCAAAGAATTGTTTGAAAATATTCAAGGTTGTGAAGTATTTATAGATGATATAGTTATATATGCTAAAAATAAAGAGGAACATGATTTTATTTTAAATAAGGTACTGTATACTGCGAAAGAAAATGGTGTAATATTAAATTTAAATAAATGTCAATTTGGAGTAAAAGAAATAAATTATCTTGGTCATATATTGTCAAAGGATGGGATTAAACCCGATCCTCAGAAAATTAATGCTATAATCTGTTTAGATAAACCTAAAAATGTAAAAGAGGTACAAACTGTATTAGGAATGATAACATATGTAGCAAAGTTTATACCTAACTTGTCACAAACATGTGAACCTTTAAGAAAACTCATTAAAAAAGATTCTGAATGGGTATGGGGTAAGGAACAGGAATTAGCATTTAAAACTTTAAAGGAAATATTAATATCAGCACCAGTTTTACAATATTTTGATCCGGAGAAGTCCTGTAAGTTATCAGTTGATGCGTCTAAAGATGCATTAGGTGCAGTATTGTTGCAAAATAATCTTCCTGTTGCTTATGCTTCAAAGGCAATGACTGAGACACAAAAAGTTTATGCACAAATAGAAAAAGAAATGTTAGCAATTGTCTTTGGATGCACACGTTTCCACCAGTATATCTATGGGAAAAGAGTGCAAGTAGAGAGTGATCATAGACCCCTAGAGACTATTTTTAAAAAATCTTTATGTGATGTCCCACTTAGGTTACAGAGAATGAGATTACATTTACAAAAGTATGATATAGATGTTAAGTATAGGCCTGGAAAAGAGTTATTAATTGCAGATGCATTATCTAGGAATTATATTAAAAGTAATGATGATATTAAGGAAAAAGAAATAGAGGCACAGGTAGGTATGATTATAGAAAGTATTCCAGTTAAATCTTGTAGATTAGAAGAAATTAAGAAAGAAACAGAAAATGATAGAGAATTTCATTTATTAAAAAAATATATTATAGATGGATGGCCAGATAATATAGAGAAGGTACCAGACAGTTTAAGAGATTATTGTACATTCAAAGAAGAACTTTTTGTATAAGATGATTTAATTTTTAAAAATAACTGTGTAGTAATACCAATACCAATGTCAATGAGACAAAATATGCTTGAACAGTTACACTACAATCATTTAGGTGTTGAAAAATGCAAGGCTAGAGCTAGATCATGTATATTTTGGCCTCATATGAATAAAGAGATAGAAA